TAACAACTTAACAAATAATAGAAAAAGTACATATTCAAGTTGTGCCCTTTGATCCTTAATGGAATTGAAATCCTTTGTTATTTCTTCTGAATCAATATTTTCGGCAAGCTCTTTTTCAATGTACACAACCATTGAATCTGCTAGAAATTCACTCTCCATCTTCATCTATCAAATTATCAGAAAAATATATTAAACTTGAAATTGAATTTTTAAAGTACGAACTCTTAAAATTAAAGCAATAAACAAATAAAATCATCAAGACATAAGAAGAAGGGAACTTTAACGAAAAGCACCTGGTACTGTTCACGAAAAACCACATTTTTACACTAAAAAGTCAATCCTGGTACTATTCACTTTGCCCTTTATTTTGTCCTTATCATTAAAACTCAAAGTTTTCAAGCCCTTTTCATTAGTTTTCCTTAAGAATAAAGTGATAAAAAACTTACCTATTGATGAGAAAAATAAAAAAACTTTCTCACTTGTATGTTTGGTTTCTGTGAACTGCAGATGAGACGAGACGAATGCTTTCTAAAAAGTGAACAAGGGTCACTGTTGTACCCCAAAAGTCGAAAAAATAATAATAAACTACTCCTAGGAAACCTAAAATAATAAAATATTAAATCTACTCTTTAAAACCGGATGACTACTCCTAAGAAACCTAAACTAATCACTATAGACTACTCCCTAGAAACTAATCATATAAAAAGATTTATTGGGACGTGTGTGTCAGTGTGTACGATTTGAAATATAATAATAATAATAAATTTTGATATTGATTAAAGTAAATAATTTATTTAATATTTATTAACTTTTACTTTTTCTAAAAGTAGTCATATTTTTCAGAACATTTACTTACTGGGTGGGTTATAACAATTAAAAATAATAAAATAATTTAAATTATCAATATTTTTAACCTTAAATAACTAAAACTTTCCCTATGCTATAGCCCACCCGAGCCTTGTCATGGCCTCCTCCGTTAAGCCCACGTGGTTTGATTGGATGGACAAGAAGCAGGAGGAAGGAAGTAGGGTTTTGTATGTTGCATTTGGGTCACAAGCTGAGCTGTCAGCTGAACAGATCCAAGAGATAGCACTAGGGTTGGAAAACTCAATGGTCAAATTTCTGTGGGTCATAAGAAGTAAAGAGTACTCATCAGAGGCTGCCTCGTGGGACATTGAAGGGTTTCAGGAGAGAGTAACGGAGAGGGAAATGGTGGTCAAAGAGAGGGTTGACCAGAAGCGGGTTTTATTGCATGAGTGTGTGCAAGGTTTTGTAAGCCACTGCGGATGGAACTCGGTGATGGAGAGCATATGCGCCGGAGTGCCGATTCTGGCGTGGTCAATGATGGCGGATCAACAGCTGAATGCAAAGTTCGTGGTGGAGGAGGGCAAGGGGGGGCTGAGGGTGGAGACGTGCGATGGTTCGACGAAGGGGTTTGTGAAGTCGGAGGGTTTGGAGAAGATGATCAAAGAGTTGATGGAGGGAGAGAAGGGGAAGGAGGCGAGGAGGGAGGCGAAGGAGCTTGCTGACTTGGCTAGGAAAGCTGTGAGTGAAGGTGGGTCGTCGTGTGCAACGCTGCAGTTGCTTATAGATGAGACAACATTCGAAAAGAATACTAGGGTTCTAGACGATAAATCAGGAGGGTTAAAGTAGCTGATAAAATGTGTAAGGCTCTTTAATTTAATGTTGAAAACATATAAAACCAAGATATGTAAGCATTTATCTAACGTTAAATAAACTCGCTGTCGAATTCATGTTATATGTATAATGTAATGAGAGGACTACTGACGACAGTTCATGGAATCATGCACAGAAGAAACTAACGTCGTATAAAAGCATCCCCAATGAGAGTTTTACCCTTCATGAGGCTACTACATTTCCAGCCTTAGCGAGAAATTTCATCCCCAATGAGCCGGAAAATGAGGCTAGATTCACCACTGGTGCTAGCAACTTCCTTTCTTGGGTAGCATAAAATCGGACTACATCTAGCCCTAAAAAACAGTGGATCCTACAAAAAAAAGTAGCAACCCATATGAGTAAAATTCTATCACTCTCTCTCCACTTGCGAAAACACTTATACTCTCCTTTTATTATTTTTAATTCTTTTTTTAAATTATTTTTCTTGCAATTTCGCTAATTAATAATTGTTTTAAATTCCATGAGACTTAAAATTTCAAATTGATTTAACGTTCATGGGCATTGATGGATGTAATTTTCAAATAATTTTTTTTCAAAATTGTATGATACTAATTTACCAATTGACGCTAGGTAAATTGTTGTGTTATACGTGAAAATCAAATTATTTCAGAGGGCGAAGTGGGGGTTTATTTCTTTCAAGGGATGAGATTGAGATAAGGGAATCTAATACAACTAACAATTCATATGAAATCTAACTTTGTCACAATTTGACTTCAGAGATGTAGGCTTTGGCCGAACTATGTTGCTCTAGCCCTGCATTTCAGTGTATTGTACGTGTTATTGATTGGTGTGATAATTGGATGGTGTTGGAATGTATATGCAGGGACGGAGCCACTATAGGCCTAGAGGGGGCGGATGCCCCCACTCAAAATATTTTTTCGTGCAAAAAATTGCACAATTTTGCATCTCACTGACCAACCCTAATTAAAATAAAAATTAAACCCTATATGTTAATTGGTATCAAGGGAAATGTGCTAAGGAGACTCTTCCAAAAGTGGACCTCTCCATGAACTTTCCGTCACCTCATGTTTTTAGTACAATCCCCGTACCAACATCATTAAACATTGTGCCAAAAACATGAGGTGGTGGATAGTCCCACTTTGAGAGAGTCTCCTTAGCATTTCTCTTAGTATCAATATGACTGACTTCGCCAACAATGATTCTAAGTGTTTTGTATGAAAAACATTATAGATTAATATATAAGTGTTTGTTTAGTAAATTTTTTTTAGCTTTTTAATTATAACTTTGTTGTTTGAGGATGCCTCCATTCATACAAATCTCTGGCTTCGTCCCTATGTATATGTGTGGGTGAATGGCAAGATGACTAGAGAATATTATTGTGCTTCGTTGAATGTTCCTTGAGGTGCTACATGCTTGAATTGTGGTATATTGTTGAGACATAGCGATTTATGTAATGAATGTTCGAGTATAGCGAATGGTGAACTACGAATGGCTTGATCCTTATTGAGGGTACGTAGGTAGTTTAACGAGAAGGTTAGATGCAGCCATAAAATATACAAAAATTACAACACAATTTGAATATTGAATTATGCTTTGTACATATCCCAGAGGTGGGGTATATTAGACATACAAATATTTGGTGGCGTCATGTGTCGATCCTGGACGTATGTCAAGATCGGGACGTGACACACTCTCACTTTCTATTTTCTCCCCTCCGTGTTCTCCTCCGGATACACGCACGATGCATGACAATTGCCTTCACTTATAGGCATGCACCAACAATTATGCCAAGAACTAAGATCAAGAAAATCTTAAGTTCACATGGCATATTCAACACCCTTTTTCTATACCTAGCCTACAGAGTAAAACCTTTTCTCCATTTGCCTTTTAATGCATATATAGAAAACAAAACATGCATAATTGCATGCAAGCAAACACAAAGTCAAGCCTTACTTGCTTCCAACTATGCTTGTGGAACTCACCATGTGTTCCCTTGAAAGAAGGCTTCCATGCCACAACCGAAAGCAAAACACGAGTCACAAATGGCTGCTGCCATTTCCTTGAAACATTCACAAAGTTACACATGCAAAATTGTTGCCAACTCATAAGTATATGAGCGAAACATAACACCTTTCTCCCTTTGTTTCTCTCTGGAGTTTCCCCTCCTGTTTAATGAAATTGTTCTTGGTTCAAACAAAAAAAATCAACGAAGGTGAACGGTGCCATTTAATAGTTATTTAAATGTCTTTCATTAATTTTTTATTTGATTAATCAATTATTATATAATTTAATAAAATAATAATTTAATTTGACATATCGAGTGGAGATCAAAATATTATAAGTTGTCAAAATACCACATAGGCTATCAAATTTAAATTTTATGTTTATAATTTAACATTTTCTTTGGAGATGATCTCATATAGATCTTTGGCTTCGTCCCTAGTTGTTGTACAAATATCTTTGTTAGTATCGTATTATTTGTCCAACACCAAAATATGTCTATAATTATTGTGAGACACGAAAAATTTATAAAGAACTGTTGTTGACACGTAAAGAAAATCAGAAAACAATATCATTCTTGCACCTCTTTTCACAACTTTTGAACTTTCGCTCTCCACTTTGAATAAAATTTCTAGGGTCTGCAGGAGTACAAGATATTTAAATGTTTTAATTGTTAGATTTGAATATTTTTGTTTTTCGCCAAAAATTTAAATTTAATCGTTATTTTTTTTTTGAAATATTTCATATCTGAAACACTAATTAAAATCCCACCATTTTGATTTTTTATTGTGGTAAGTAGCGAGAGTTGAATGCTAGTCAAATTTCAAAATCCTTCTAGAACTAGATTGTTCAAGCAAGACAGCCTTTATTTGTCAACATAAACAAAACATAAAAATACAAAAGATTTGAATGATTGAGGCAATCTGCCCTTCTTGATACGCAGCTGACAGCTCCATGAACTAATTATTTTACTCAGCTCCATGTACGAAATAAAGAAAAGGGATGTAATATTCACACACTTCATTTTACGTTTCACATACTCTTTTAATTTTCGATCATCAGATCGAATGAATTTAAGAAGATTAATGGAGATAAATTAAAAAGAAATGTGTGAGAAGTAAAATAGGGTTTGAGGGATTTGCGGACGTTAATGCCGAATGGTATTATATGTTTTAATTCTTTTAGTTTGTGTGCCTTTGTTCATGCAAGGAGTGCATCTGTATACAGTATAAGCATCAACATATATATATATATATATATATATATATATATATATATATATATATATATATATATATATATATATATATTATATCTATGGACATAACCCTGCCTCTATAACTACTCAACACTAGTTTTGTTTATTATCTCCAACAACAAAACAAACCAGAAAGAGTCCAACTAAACTATACTTTCAGCGAAAATTATTAGAGAGAGAGTTATGGGTTCCAGTTCGGAGCAAGAACACAATGACGGCCACGTAGTTTTATTTCCCTTCATGTCTAAGGGCCACACCATCCCACTCCTCCACCTTGCCCACCTCTTCCTCGCCCGCCGCCTCTGCGTCACCGTCTTCACCACCCCCGCCAACCGCTCGTTCATAGACCAATATCTCGCCGACACCTCAGCCACGGTGATCTCCCTCCCTTTCCCTCAAAACATCCCCGAAATTCCCGCTGGCATCGAAAGCACCGACAAGCTCCCTTCCATCGACCTCTTCTACCCTTTCGCCCTCGCCACAATCCACATGCAGTTCGACTTCGAGCGTGCCCTCACTACCCTTCCACGTGTCACCTTCATGGTCTCCGACGGGTTCTTCTGGTGGACACTCGACTCCGCCGGCAAGTTCGGGTTCCCCAGATTCGTCTTCTACGGCTTCGGAAACTACGCCTTGTCGGTGTCCAGCTTCGTCAGCCAGAACAGGCTCCTGCATGGAGCCGAGTCTGACGACGAGTTGATCACCGTGACTCGGTTTCCTTGGATCAAAATTACAAAAAAGTACTTCGATGATGCCTTTAGAGGCGCCGATCATAACCGACAAGCGTCTCAAGCCTCCGAGTTCCACGTCATGTCTGTCGTGGCTGCGTTTCGCAGCTACGGCATGATAGTCAACAGTTTCTACGAACTTGAGCCTGTGTTCACTGACTATTGGAACACTGAGTGTGGGCCCAAGGCCTGGTGTGTGGGCCCTCTTTTCCAACTTGCGCAAGATGAACCGCACGATGATCTCGATGATAAGCCCACGTGGGTTGATTGGCTGGACAAAAAACTGGAGGAAGGAAGTAAGGTCTTGTACGTTGCTTTTGGGTCACAAGCTGAGCTGTCAGCTGAACAGATCCAAGAGATAGCACTAGGGCTGGAAAACTCAATGGTCAACTTTTTGTGGGTCATAAGAAGTAAACAGTACTCATCAGAGACTGCCACGTTGGACATTAGAGGGTTTGAGGAGAGAGTGAAGAGGAGGGGAATGGTGGTCAAAGAGTGGGTTGACCAGAAGTGGATTTTAATGCATGAGAGTGTGCAAGGTTTTGTAAGCCACTGCGGATGGAACTCGGTGATGGAGAGCATATGCGCGGGAGTGCCAATTCTGGCGTGGCCGATGATGGCGGATCAGCCGATCAATGCAAAGTTCGTGGTGGAGGAGGTCAAGGTGGGGCTGAGGGTGGAGACATGCGATGGTTCGCCGAAGGGGTTTGTGAAGTCGGAGGGGTTGGAGAAGATGGTCAAAGAGTTGATGGAGGGAGAGAAGGGGGAGGAGGCGAGGAGGGAGGCGAAGAAGCTTGCTGAGGTGGCGAGGAAAGCTGTGAGTGAAGGCGGGTCGTCGTGGTCAACGCTGCAGTTGCTTATAGATGAGACAACGTGCAACAAGAGCACTAGGTTCTAGACGATTTGTCGGTAGGGTTAAAGTAGTTGATAAAATGTGTAAGGCTCTTTAATTTAACGTTGATAACAAACTTATAAAACCAAGATATGTAAGCGTTTATGTAACGTTAAATAAGGTCGTTGTCGTATTCATGTTTTGTGTGCTGAGACTTTGACGACAATTCATGCACAAAATCTAATTAATGTGGCATGAATGACGGTCAAATCACGTTGATGTGACGGCCGGCCACAACAAAAATTCTCTGTTAACTCTTGAATGTCCTAAACATTTATTTTCATTGTGATCTATATATTTCCTAGGATATTTCTATGACTTATGCTAAAAGTTGCTTCACTTTGTCAACCCTTTTTCGGTGGGTTTAGGAGGTACCTTAAACAGTCTAAATACACAACATAAAAAGAAGTTGTGTACATTTGGCGTCTCTATTAACTCTGGAATTTTAAACTATACTCTTTATTTTAGACTATACTTAATACGAAAGGTTAACAGCGATTAAAATCATTTTAATCGTATTAAACATGGATAAAATAATTAGAAATATGCTTTGGGTTTGAGTCGAGTTCCTTGTCTCCATCTTATGGTAATTGCTTCCACTTCGTGACATTTAAGACCCCGAAAAGGAATGGTAAGACGGTTAATTATGGCTTTTCGTGGCCGTTATTTGATTGCATTAGCATCTGTAAAAAGTTAGGCAATGACGAGGGATAGAAACCATGGATTTTGTTTTCTTTAGTTGCATGTAGGATGTGAGAAACAGCCAGCCTTGCTCCTGGAAGGCCATTTCTTTTCTTTTTCACCATTTCTTTTCTTTTTCTAACTTGAACCTGCCCATGAATTTAGGATTCCGTTGGACAGTTTTACAGCGTTGGGCTGAAGCGTGCTAAGAGATCATTGGCACCACCGCAGAGGAGTTTGTCCTCAAGGCAAAGTTATCTGAAAGTGTTAGTGGCTTTGGCAGGATATAATTCCGCTCTCGAACAGCCCTAGGAGGCTAGATCATCGACACCTTCGACGGAAGGTTCAAGATTATTCTTCTTGGATTTTTTTTTCTTCCTTTTTTTTTTTCACGTACAGTTTGTTTAATTGTTAATATCTCTAATCGTTGGTGAGGTTTTTATTGTCATTTACATACTTATTTAGAAGTCTGCTTGTAACATTTGTGTAGTCGACGTTGTATCCAAGAGTTGTAGTTGTCTTTCGCTTTGCTCGAGGATGAAGTACTAGATCTGACACATTTATGCGAGAATGATAGATATTTGTAATGAATTCGATAGCTGGTTGTGACTAATTCGAATTTTTTCTAATTTAGCTTTGCTGAGGGTCTGCTAGCTCTTTGTAAGTATCTTTGTAGACTTTGTTAGTATCATACCCTTTTTTGGCAAGCACAAAAATATGTCTGTAATTGTAGTGAGATCTGAAAAGTTGATAGAGAATTGTTGTTGACATTTCAAAAAATAAGAAAACAACAGCATTTTCACACCTCTCTTTTCACAACTTAGAATCTTTTGCTTTCCACTTCGAATAAAATTTCTAAGGTCGGTCGGAATATGAATATTTCAGGTTTTTTAACAATTAGATTTAATTTTTTTTTAATTTTTACCAAAGATCTAAACGTTAAAAAGTTTAAAATATCTGATACTCCGGAACACTTTGAATCAAGTGCCTTTCAAATGTCAAAGTCCTTCTAGAACTAGATTGGTATGGAAAGGACGACAGCCAAGATTGTCAACATTAAAAAACATGAAAAAACAAAAGATTTGAATGATTGAGGCCATCTGCCATTCGTAAGCTGATGAGGATCCTCATTGTGAGGATTTCATGATTCTCCAATCACGTTTGTTTATCGTACATTATACGGTCAATTTTTGTATAATAATTTTTTACGCATACGATGAATTAATATGATTAAAAGATCTCCAGAATCCTCGCTAAGAAGATCCAGAAAGGGAATCCTCATTCTTCGTAAGCGACTAAGCTCCTAATTTTGTATTCCCAATGGTCACTGCACGCGAGTCAGACCAAACAAAAGAAGAAACATGTACCCATTCTCCAATGTTAAAGCGTAAAAGAGCTATGCTTCCATTGGTTTGGTGGGAAGAGAAGAAATGATAAACGAACTCTTCGCGAGATTTTTTATGGATTTTCTGTTATTTTACATTTTAACGTTAATTTTTATGTCGACATTATAAAACATTATGCAAAAACATGAGGTGTCAGAGAGTTCATAGATAATCTCACTTTTGAAAGAGTCTCCTTAGCATTTCTCTTGGTGGGAATTTGAATCCTCTTTGGACCTTACTATCAGGAGTCTAAGGACCAGGAAATCGGGTATTGATTTTTGTGAAAGAGAGATCAGAACTCTTGATTTATGTGAGATGAGTCAGCGGAATGAGCTAATGCAAGCTACTTGATCCTTAGGTTCCGAACAATGAGATACGAAGAGGATCTCTATTCGTCTAGCAGAACTCATGATTGACTAATCAGTATTCTTATGATGTTATTTTCTTGAAATTTTCTTTCACACATTAGAAATTAATTAGTTTAATTTTATATTCCCTAAATTAATATTGACAATTGTAGTGTTATTTCCTCCAAGATGAATTAGGGTACATGTATTTACTTTCGATGGCATTTATTTCATTCTCTGCAGAAAGTTTAAGAAAACAGTTCATCTATTGTAAGCAATTTTGTAGTTTCTTTTACTTTTTCTCTTAAAGTTACGTACGTTGGTAAACCTTACAGAAGATATTATATAGAAAACAAGTGCATGATCAGCTATTAGATCATCGGTTTTTGACAGCACCATATTTGAACTTCATGGACTGACCCTTGGACGCCACCGCGAGCTCTCCGTGTTACTATATGTTTTAATTTTTTTACAATATTTTGTATTATTAGTTACCTTTAGAAGCAGATGCTCTTCTTTTAAGAATTACATTTAGATCTATGTTATTTTTTATGAAAACGCCAATACATCTTCCATGAGGTCTCCTGTGGTTTATATGACTGGATTGTATTGGATAATCGACTATATTCAAAGTTCATGACAAATAAAAGTGTGCAATTTTTTATTTTGAGAAACTAAATAAAAATAGACATTAAAGAAACTTATGTCTTCTTGAAAGTTCTAGGATGGTACTAGATTAACCTAAAGGGAGTAAATAGGTTCAATTTAAAAATCCAATTCAATTTTCAATTCTCAAATTAAATCTACATTCACATCACATATCAAACTATTATACTTAGATGCAATTAAAACCATAAATAAAATATGTACACAAGATGTATAATTTAACAAGGCAAAATCCACCACTAGAAAAATCCTCGGGCTCCCAAGCCAGAACAAACACTAAGATAAATGTGTACATAAAGACTTACAAAACTCATCAACTAGACACTCAACTAGAAGGTAGTTTTGTCTCCGCACTTTGCTACTCGATCTCTCTTCAGCGTTTAAGTGGAAGTGGTACGACACTAACGTGGCCGTCAATCACCTTCTCCTCGAACTTTGCATAATACTAACGCGATCATGCATAATGAATGAAATGAAATGATTTTGTAAATCAATTAATTATGAAAATTACAAGGCACATTTTTATAATTGATTTCTAATTACAGCACGAACAAACAACATGAAAAATATTATTTTCTCTTAAAAATACATGCTGTCAAAAACCAAAGCAGTAGTACCGAAACCAATTTCTTCTGTCAAAATACGAAATCAACAAATTCAATAAGGATGCATGCTGACGCCTAAAGTCTAATCAAAGATTACTTAAAGAACTAAAATGCAAGATTTTTCAATCTGACAAAAAGCCAATACATCTTCCATGAAGTCTCCTGTGGTGTATATGACTGGATTGTATTGAATCATTTCAGTCTGACAAAAAGCCAATACGTCTTCCATGAAGTCTCCTGTGGTTTATATGACTGTATTGTATTGAATAATCGACCAATATGCAAAGTTTATGACAAATAAAAGTGAATAATTTTTTATTTTGAGAAACTAAATTAAAATAGACATTAAACAAACCTATGCCTTCTTGAAAGTTCTAGGATGGTACTGGTTTAACATAAAGGAGAGTGAATAGGTTCTAATTTAAAAATCCAATTCAATTTTCAATTCTCAAATTAAATCCACATTTACATCACATATCAAACTATCATACTCATATGTTGTTGATGCACAAAATCAGTGAGGACCTTGGTACAACAGAAAGTGTTAAGTTTGTGATATTCGCTAGATTGCTCCGGTCACTAGTATGGATAAGTATGTAAATGGATAGAGATAGAGAAGCAAATACAAGATGTACGTGGTTCACCCAGATTGGCTACGTCTACGGAGTAGAGGAGTTCTTGTGAAGGGTTTACACAAGTACATAGGTTCAAGCTCTCTTTTAGTGAGTACAAGTGAATGATTTAGTACAAATGACATTAGGAAATATTGTGAAAGAATGATCTCTATTTATAGAAGAGAGTTTCTAGTTTCATTCTGACATTGACACGTGTCGTGTTGTGATTGGCTTCTGATGTTAACACTTGTCGCGCTATGATTGGTTTCTGATGTCGACACGTGTCGCACTATGATTGGCCTCCTAGTTGGAGGGAAACTCTTCTGGGTCCTTGACGGTATAACATTGACCGGTGCTCAGTAGTTTCGGGATTGGTCAAGTATGGTCCAATTCAATTTTCAATTCTCAAATTAAATCCACATTCACATCATATATCAAACTATCATACTCATATGTAATTAAAACGATAAATAAAATGTGCACATAGGATGTAAAATTTACGAGGCAAAACCCACCAATGGAAAATCTTTGGGTTCCCAAGTTAGTACAAACACTAAGAGAAATGAATACAGAAAGACTTACAAAACTCATCAACTAGACACTCAACTAGAAGGCAGCTTTGTCTCCGCGTTTTGCTACTCGATCTCTCTTCAACCTTAAAGTAGAAGTGGCTTAATACTAATGCGGCCGTCAATCACCTTCTCCTCGAACTTTGCATGATACTAATGCGATAATCAATCAATTACGAAAATTACAAGGTATATTTTTATAATTGATTTCTAATTAAAGCACGAACAAAACAACATAAAAAGTATTATTTTCTCTTAAAAATACATGCTGTCAAAAACCAAAGCAGTAGTACCGAAACCAATTTCTTCTGTCAAAATACGGAATCAACAAATTCAATATGGATGCATGCTGACACCTAAAGACTAATCAAAGATTACTTAAAGAACTAAAATGCAAGATTT